TGGGAAGATCCACCTTAATTGTGGGTGGTACCATTCCTTGGGCTGGAGTCCTGGATTATAGAAAAGGAGAAAGCAAGCTGAGCATGAGCATTCATCTCTCTCTCTAGCTTCCTGATATGGATGCATTGTGACCCACCTCCTCAAGGTCCTGTTTCCATGCTTTCCCCACCAGGATGGACTGCATCCTCAGACTGTGAGACAAAATAAACCCTTCCTCCTTTAAACTTCTGTCAGGTGTTTAGTCACTGCAACAAGAAATGTAACTAATATATCTACCAGGATGTAACAAGCTGCAATGCAGGTTCCTGCTGCCACACATGGAGCTCTAGCCACCATGCCTGCCCTACCATGATGAACTGTATCCCCCTAAACTGTGAGCCAAACCAAATCCTTCCTCCCTAAGCTGCTTCTGTCAGTTATGATGTCACAGAGTAATCCAGTGCCCTCATAAGAGACTACAGAGAGCACCCTCAACTCTTATTGCCATGGGGATGAACAAAGCCTTAGTGAAAATGATAGGGCCATTTCATAGTATACATAGAAAGAGCACATCTGTACTTCATTCTACAAGAAGGAATCTGCATGCAGCTCAGCACATACACACGGCTAATAGATTTTTTTGGTTCCAAATTAACCTTCCAACTAGATGTCATTCAAATAGTAGACCCCCTAGAAAATACAAGACTCTGTGCCCGTGGTGTATAGGAGCCCTCCCTCCCACTAGACAGAGAAGATAGTGAAGGACAGCAGACTCTCAGGATGAGGCCAACCACCTGCACAGTGGGCAAAGCTAAACTTTGGAATGATTGACTGCCTTTGTTTCCCTTCCCTGTATTCTGCTGTGTGATGACTAGGTGGAAGACAGTCTTCCTGGTAGTAATTCACTGTCTTCTCAGGAATCCACTTCCTTCTCTCTGAAGAAAGCATAAATAGTCAGTTCCTGGGTTTTTGTTTTGTTTTTCCTATGTGATGGGTGGCAAGGGCTGCTTACAAAAGACAGTGGTCTGTGAACCAGGAAGTGGTCTGTGAACTAAGAAATAGGCCCTTGTTTGGCACCAAGTTAGCTACAGCCTTGACCTTGGACTTCTTAGCCTTCAGAACTATCAACTATAAATTTCTGTTCTTTATAAACTACCCAGCTTATGGTATTTTTGTTATAGCTACTCAAGTAGACTGAGACACTATGCAAATATTAGCTAACAGAAAACTAGAGGTGGCAATGATAATATCATAAAAAGGTTGATTTATGGGGTTTGGAGAGATGGCTCAGTGGTTAAGAGCACTGGCTGCTCTTGCAGAGGACCCGAGTTCAATTCCCAGCACCCACATGGCGACTAACAACTGTCTGTAACTCCTGTTCCAGGAGAATCTGAAGCCCTCTTCTAACCTCCACTGGCATTGCACAGCATGGGGGCATTTACACATATGCAGGCAATACACTCTTACACATAAAATTAATTTTTATAAAAAGTTTGATTTATGGGCTGGGAGTGGTGGCACATGCCTTTAATCCCAGCACTCCGGAGGCAGAGGCAGGTGGATCTCTGTGAGTTCAAGGCCAGCCTGGTCTACATAGTGAGTTCCAGGACAGCTGGGGCTACAGGGAGACTCTGTCTCAAAAAGACCAAAAAAAAAAAAAAAGTTTGATTTATGATAAAAGGCATTAATAAACTAAAGAAAGTTAGAAAGTCCATTTTTCCATGGGTGTAGTTTCTCCTGCCTTTTCTCTTTCCTATTGGTCCTCAGCTAGATAGAGCCTTTGCTGCAGCATAAAGGCATCTCTGACTCTGCAGCACCACTGGATTAAGGAATCTTAATCTGGTGCAGTCTTGTCTTGACTGTTTAAAAATAAATGGAACCTGAGGGGCTGGAGAGATGGCTCAGGGGTTAAGAGCACTGACTGCTCTTGCAGAGGACCTGGGTTCGATTCCCAGCACCCACATGGCAGCTATGAACCATCCTTAACTCCAGTTCCAGGGAACCTGAAGCCCTCTTCTGACCTCCAAGGCATTGCACGACACAGGTGCACTCGCATACATACAGGCAACACACTCACACATAAAATAAAAGTAATAAAATATTTTGAAAAAATAAATGGAGCCTAAATAGACATTTCTCCAAAGAAGATATGCAAAGGACCAATAAGCACAAGACCCCCAACAACCTCAGTCCTCAAGGAAATGCAAGCCAGACTCACAAATGATGTCATGGCACAAACCCAGATGGATGGAACAAAAGGGTTGACCAATGACAAGTGTTGCCCAAGACCAGAAAAACTGGAACCATCAGACATTTCTGGTAGAAGCAAAAATGAGATAACCACTTTGGAATAAAATTCCATCAGTTCATAAAAAAAGAGAAACAGAATTAGTATACCCAGCTATTCTAGCACTAGGAATCCATACAAGAGGATTAACAACATAAGTCCACACAAGTGTTGTAACTGAGTGTTCTTACCTGTATTATTCACAAAGGTTGAAGAATGAAAACAAGACAAACTGCTGAGATAAATGTAAGATAAATAGAATAAAATGCGGTACCCGTACAGCAGTGCTTTAAAACACTATGCTGAGTGAAAGAAGCCAGTCACATCAAACCACAGGAAACCATATATGATTCTGCTCATTCAGAATGTCCAAACTAGGACTGGAGAGATAACTCAGCAGTTAAGAGTACTGGTTATTCTTTCAAAGGACCTGGATTAAATTCCTAGCACCCACAGGGCAGCTAACAACCATCTGTAACTCCAGTTCTAGGGGATCTGATGCCCTCTTCTAACCTCTGCAGGCATTGAATGACACAGGTGCACTTGCACACATACAAGCAATACATTCATACACATAATATAAAAATAATAAATAAAATATTTTAAATGTAAAAAAACAAAAAGCAAAAATGTCCAGACTAGGCTGGACTAGGCTGTTCAGACTATTGAAACAGAAAGTAGATTAGTGGTTGCCTAATGAACCAGTTATTAATTGTGCTGGGGCACGTGGGGATTGACCACCACCAATGGGGTTTCCTATGATGATAATGGATTGTAGTGATGTTGAGGAACACTATAAATAAGCTAAGGAGAATTAACTGCATATATAAATAGGTGAATTATGTGTTGATGAATAAATCAATAAAATTGTTGCATTAAAATAATAAAAATGGGTGCTGAAGAGATGGCTCGGTGGTTAAGAGCACTGACTGCTTTTGTAGAGGACCCAGGTTCAAATCCCAGCACCCACATGGCGGCTAACAACCATCTGTAACTTCAGCTCCATTGGATCTGGTACCTTCTTCTGACCTCCATGGGCGTTGTGCGACACAGGTGCATTTACACACATGCACTTATACACATAAAATAAAAATAATAAATAAAATATTTTTAAAAATATTAATAAAAAATATAGAGGCTGGGCAATATCTCAGTTAGTAAACAGCTTGTTGTGCAAACATGAGGACCTGACTTGATTGCAGAGCCCCAGCACCCATGTAAAAAGGCCAGGTGTGGTCATGTGTGTCTGCAACCCTAGCTTGGGAAGGAGGATGGGAACAGTAAATTGAATATACTGCTTTTTCTATCAGAGGGTTAAATGAAACAAAGGAATTCTGGTCTTCAAAGTGTTCCACAGAGGTTTCATAGTCAGTTGCAATCTGCATCCTTTGTCTGGGGTTTTCTCTTTCCTGTAGGTACATGTCAGCTCTAGAAACCCTGAGCTTGGGATGAAGGGGGGGCAGACTCATTACCTAACATTTGTCTGAGATCAAAGTATATGCCCAAGACTGCATCCTGTTTTCAAAAATTACACTTTGCAGGCTGGAGAGATGATCCAGCAGTTAAGAGTCCTGACAGTTCTTGCAGAGGACCTGGGTTCGAATTCAAGTACCCACTGGCAGCTAACAACTGTCCGTACTCCAGTTCCAGGGGATCCAATGCCCTCTTCTGTCCTCCGAGGGCACTGCATGACACAGGTGCCCTTATACACATGCAGGCATAACATTCATACACATAAAATAAAAATAAATAAATAAAGTCTTTAAAAATCACACTTTGCGCCAGGTGTGGTGGCGCACGCCTGTAGTCCCAGCACTTGGGAGGCAGAGGCAAATGGATCTCTGTGAGTTCAAGGCCAGTCTGGTCTACATAGTGAGTTCCAGGACAGCTGGAGCTACAGGGAGACCCTGCTTCAAAAAGACCAAAAAAAAAAAATCACACTTTGCTTATCAATTGCACAGCTTTTTATTTTAAGTTTGTAGATCCTGTAAGAATGTGAGGATATGAGGCAGAGCTCTGATTACCCAGAGTGAGGAACAGGACCCCTCTGATATAGGAATAAAAACCCAGTGGAACCCCCTCCTGGTGTACCTGCCTGCTTGAATCACTGTTAAAGCACCCTTCTGAAGAAGTAAAAAACTTTCTGCTTTGCCCAAGCAATTTGGGTTGTGTGGTCATTGTCCTGAAACCCCAGACCCATTTTTGACAGGTGGAGACCAGCATCTAGATCCCTGAGGCTCGCTGGCCAGCCGATCTAGCCAGTTGGAGAGCTCAGGTTCAGACCTTGTCTCAGACAAGGCAGGGAATAATTGAAAAAGACATCTGACGTCAATCTCTGACCTCTACCCATAACTCCCCCCGCCACATTTGCACAAACACATATTCATGCAAAACAAAGACCTAAAAGTAAAATGCACACACACACACACCACAAAACAAGTCCACTGCTTTTTAATCATTCCAAAGAGATCTGAGAGAGGAAAAAGAAAATTCTATGTTCTGTTGCAATACCTGGGGAAACTGAGGCACTGGGAAAGCCTTTCCACCCTGAAGTCTTCTCAGGAAGGGACCATTGATTTTTCTGCTTTTTGCTTCATCTATGTGATGAGCTCTAGCTTTGGACAGGGGATATCCTGTGAGTTGTTAGGGCCCCAGTATTGGTAGGATCCAACTGACACTTCATCCTGCCCAAAACTTCCATGAAGCCTCCACAGCAGATGAAGCCACTGCTCACCTATATGATCCAGACAAGACAAATCTCCAATCTGAGATGATGAACTTCTCCTGGATTTGGCCAGCAAATTTCCTGCCTGATTTGGCACAGTATACCTCTCCTTCCACACTCCGGATGGAAATGTTCTGTTGGAAGCAAAATCAAGGTGTTACTAATTCTGTGTTTATAGATAAACATTTGGGCTATACTGAGCATGTTCCCCTCAATTCTATGTTGAAACCTAATCTCCAATGTGATGGTTCTAGGGCGCTGGGCCTTTAGAAAGTAATTGGCTTATGAGGGTGAAGCCTTCATAAAGGGATTAGTGCTCTTATGTAACAGATCTGATAGTTCGCTTGTTCTGTCTGCCCTCTGAAGACAGTGAAACAGCCATTGAACAAGGCACTGAGCCTACCAAACACTGAATTTGTAGACACTTTTATCTTGGACTAAACTGTCTCAAGAGCTATGAGAAATAAATTTCTGTTGTTCGTAAGCCAGCCAGTCTATGACATTCTCTTACAGCCCAAACATACCCAAACATACCAAGAGAATTTGCATAGGAACTTGGAAAGATGTTGACCAAGATTTTATCGAAGCTTGGTGAGATTATGTGTCGTTTGTCTCTCTCTCTCTCTCTCTCTCTCTCTCTCTCTCTCTGTTGGCTGACTTTTCTGAGTTTTTCATTATTTCAGTGTTTGCTGGCAATAACAAAAAAAAAAGAGTAGAATTCAAATGAAAATAGGGCAGCACATGAAAACATATGAGAAGGGCTTGATGCCAAAGGAGCCCCTAGTCTAAGCCTCCATGGACCATAAAAGGTCTCTGCCCATTACATAGGAGCAAGCCCAGCCTTGCCTTTAAGTGGTCTTAGTGACATGAGCCCCTTACCCTGAGTTGGCCAGAGGGCTGGCCCAGAATAGCAAGAAGGGTTAGTTTTTCGAAGGCCCTAATGGACTCTGGGTCATTCTAAGAACAGGTACGTCTACAACTCAAATCCTGGCTCTTATTATACCTTGTCTCTGTGGCAGGTGCCCAGGCCTCAGATGGGTTCTATGGAGAAATGAAAAGCAGGTGAAGTGTGGGGATCTGCCTTAGGCTTATAGTCAATGGATGTGGAATGCTGCCAGGACTCCACCAGTGCCTGTCCACAGCCACCAGGCTCTGAGAAGAGCACTCCTAGGGCTTCCAGAAGCTCCTTCCAGCTTCTCGGAGCAAGAGGAGGACACATCCGTTGCTCTGTGGTGAGATGACTGTCAGGTGTGGGCCAAGAAAGCAAGGCCTGCACTGACTCTCTTGATCTGTTCTAATAACTTCTTTCTGAGGAGGAGCGACCCAGGGAATGTCAGGCAGACCCTGCATTAGTGGTGCTGTGGCCCATGACTTCAGGAAAGAGCTGAACTCAGCTGCCTCCCAATCAGTGTGGAGAAGGTGCCCCAGAGACTGATCTGTGTCTGAGCTGTGTCTGAGCTGTGGGGGAGTTGTCCAAGGAACCCGGAGGATCATGTGTCAGCTAGGCCTATGCATGAAGCTTGGGTGGTTTTCCTTTCGACTGTGAAGCGACTGCACTCAATGTGTATGTGGCTAATTAATTATTTCTGGGTTTCTTTTCTCTCTCTCTCTCTCTCTCTCTCTCTCTCTCTCTCTCTCTCTCTCGTGTGTGTGTGTGTGTGTGTGTGTGTGTGTGTGTGTGTGTAGGAAGGGGATCTGGCTAAATTCAAGAGCATCAACTTCCTGTTGGAAGTCAGCATTCAAAACATGTATTATAGGTTCTGAGGTTGCCCTGTACTGTAAGGTGCATCAAATGGGCTCCCAGAGCCGAGAGGAGGAAAAGACTGTGGCAGGGATCCTAAGCAGATATTCATAGTGTCCTGACACTCTCTAAGCCCTGTGCCTTCCATCAAGGTCAATGGGCTATAGGTGGAAATGATGGAAATCTCTTCTGGGTCAGATCCTAACAACATCCTTCAGAATACTCCTGTCTTCTCTTTCTCTGTAAGCCACATATTCTTTGTGGTATAACTATTAGATGGAGAAGGGCTGGTTGACCTTCATCATGTTGTGACACTGAGATGGAGGCTGGTAACCTAGGAACTTTTCCTAGCCCGGTAGCCTTGGGGTATTCACTGGGCCCTTACCTTGAGATGAACATCAGAGATCTGGACTTTGTCACACATCTCTTGGAACAGCTTTACACCTCCCTGGTCCAGGAGCACACAGACGAATACCCCACGCTTGTTGGCTGCTTCTAGAATGTCACAGAAGATCTCTACATCTGTGAACACATCCATCAGGATGGCCAGGACCTGGGCCAGAGCAGAAGGCTCCATTACAGAGAAGTCAGGGCTGGCACTAGCAGGTCTCAGTCAAACCTCCTAAGTCCCAGTGGGCCTTAGAGCACCAGAGGGGAAAGGAATAAGGGAGGGTCTGCCTGAGCAGGGTTAGAAGAAGGGATGGAAGAGTTGGAGTGGAGGTCTGGGGCCTGTCTACTGGCACTCACTGACTGGTCATAGGGACAGCACAAGCCCGAGGCCAGAGCAATGAGAGTACTTGGTCCCCTGCTGGTTGCAAGAATTGGTCACTGCTGGCTGCAGTGATTGGTCCAGTGGTGGTCACATGATCTACATTCTAATGAGAACTGGTCCAAGAATTTTGCTGGGACTCCTGAGAAAAGGAGGTGCAGTTTTCCCATCTGCTTATCTAGTGATTGACAGGCTACAGGTACTAGAACTGAGCGTGCTATCCCTTGGGAAGCAAGCTTGGCAAGCCAGCCCTGGAGAAGGCAGCACATGTGTCCTCAGCAGCAGCATCTGAACACCTGGCTGTAGTTGCACATGAGGGCAATCCTACACTTGACTTTGCCGACATCTCCTGGAATTCCTGATCCTCTCCTGTCTCACCTCACACCCTACTCTGAGTGCTGGGATTGAAGGTGTGCACCTCTGTGCTCTGCTGCCCTTCACTTTTCCAATGTTGGTGTCAAGGAATCTTCTGTAGTTTGGATTTATTTCCTGTCATTCAATCAAAAGCCCTTCCTAATACTTATGTTGTGGTTCATCGACATGATGATTGTAATGACATGATGATTGTAATGATTGTGTAAAAGCTGTAAGATGGGACTGGAAAGATGGCTCAGCAGTTATGAGCACTGACTGCTCTTGCAGAGGACCTGGGTTTGATTCCCAGCACTCACATGGCATCTAACAATCATCTGTAACTCCAGTTCCAGGGGATCTGACATCCTCTTCTGACCTCCTTGGGCAATGTAGGACATGGGTGCACTTACACATATGCAGGCAATACCCTCATAAAATAAAAATAATAAAATATATAAAAAATACTGTAAGATATAGTGGTATGTTTGTGGTTTGGAGTCAAACCTGATGAATAATAAGTGCTAAAAAATGTGTGTTAACAATGAACTTAATAAAATAACACAAAATAGTCATTATCCATTGTGACAGCAAGTAGATAAACCCAGACTACTCATCAAGATGGGCTGGGGTGGAGAGTTTCTTCTTGGACATTAGATGCAGCTGTTTGAACGTGCAATGTCCTCAGTGGGCTCATATGTTTAAACACTCAGTCCCCAGACAGTGGTCCTGTTTTGGGAGGTTGTAGAACTTTTGGGACTTGCTTCTATCAGGTATTTTGTCGCTGCAATGAGAAAAGTAACTAACACAGACATGATACTAGGGTTTCATCTTTCCAAGAATGACTACATGTATATTTATGTATTGCGTAATTGTGTTTTGTTTCCTTTTGTTTTTGAGATAGAGTCTCACTATGCAGCCCAGGCTAGCCTTGACTTGCAATCTTTCCACTTCAGCCTCCAAGTGCTGGGATTACAGGCAAATGTCACTATACCCTGTGACAATTTTTCTTTCTTCTTTCTTTTTCCTTCCTTCCTTCCTTCCTTCCTTCCTTTTTTTCCACGAACATCTGGGAGGCAGCAAAGGATGAAGCCACTACATTGGTAGGCCAAGGAGGTGACTGGGAATTGTGTGGAGCTGCTTAGTTGATGTGGGTATCTGAGCAAGGATGGAGACTGTTGAGAACTTGCTCATGAGCAGTGAGGCCCATGATCCATTAGAACCATGGCCTATTGTGACACAATAAAAAGTCTGTAAATATTTAAATTTATGGGACCAAAGATGGCCAAAGACTTCTTTTTTTTTTTCCCTGAAATCACCTCCTCTTTCAAGGTATAGACAGAAAAGGTTACACTCTCTCTCCACGATCATTCAGTTGTTCCCCTCAGACAGTGCTGGTGAGGGGGCAGGTGTGTACCTACCAAAGCGTCTTGATTTAGGGATGCTTGCAAAGGTAGGTGTACAAAGTCTGGGTTTATCTTGTTTGTTTCCTGTTGGGATTGACTACCAGCTGTATTAGAGGCCAGTGACAGGCTTGAATCACTCTTCCTCAGCCCTCTACATGGGAGGTGTCACCTTAGAGGGTGTAGAAGGTTGAACTGTGGTACTGAAGTGGATCAAGGCAGTGAGAGCTTGTTTATGTTTAGACAACATAGCTGTAGCCCGGACTTCTAGCGCATGCACGCACGCACGCACGCACGCACGCCTTTGATCCCAGCACTTGGGAGGCAGAAGTAGGCAGATCTCTGTGAGTTTGAAGTAGCATAACTCTGATAAGAATTTCCATCCTGAGCCAGGATGGCTAACACTAGACACCCAGAGGGCTGTAAGTCAGAACAAAATGACTAACGTCAGATGTCCTGGGACCCCAAAAGTAAACAGTGATATAATCTGTTCTATAACTAGTTTTTGCAAGAAGCAACCTTTGTGTGACTTCCTATAAAAAGTTCCTGAGGGGCCTAGAAAGATGGCTCAGTGGTTAAGAGCATGAGTACTCTTGCAGAGGACCCAGGTTTGGTTCCCAGAACCCACACAGCAGCTAACAACTGTCTGTAATTCCAGTTCCACCTTCTTCTGACTTCTGTAGGCGTTGCATGACTCGGATGCACTTACATACATGCAGGCAATACACTCATGCACATAAAATAAAAATAATAATTAAATAATTTTTAAAAATAAAATTCCAAGCCAGGCTTGGGGTGTGTGTGTCAGCCAGTGCTGAGGGGACACGGCGCTGGGCGAGCATGCCTGGAGCTAGAGGCGCCCCCTAAAAAAATCCCCCCCAAAAATAAATAAAATATTTTTTTAAAGTTCTTGAGACCAAGGGCACATGTGCTCTTGCCCGGTTGCCCAGTGTCCATCTGCCCAGTGGTTTGTTACCCTTGCCTAGAGAACATAAAGGCAGTGGCTCTGTGGATATTCTCTAACTTCCCAGCTCCTTGTGACCCTCCATTCCTGGCTCCCAAACTCTCAGACTGCACAGGTCCTTCCAAAATATATGGTCACAGTTGGAACCTGTGAAGAAGATCACATTTGGGAAAAGGGTCTTTTCAGAAGGAATTAAGTGAATAATCTCAAGGTGAGTTCTTCCTGGATTACTCAGTGGGCCCTGAATCCAACGACAAGAGATTAACAAAAGAAGTCGAGTTTGATGGCCCATGACTGGAATCTGAGCTGGGGAAGGAGAATCATAGGTTCTGGGACAGCCTGGGCTACATAGAAGATAGCAGAGGGGAGATGCAAGAAGAGGAGGAGGCCACATGAAGACAGAGGCAGAACTTGGAGTTGGGCAGCCAAGAGGCCTGGAGCCCCTGCAGGCTGAGAGGTTGGTGAGAATCCTAGCCTGGAGCCTTGCAGAGAGTGTGGTCCAGAGAGAATCTCAAGTTCATCCTTTCGGCTCCCAGAACTGCGAGAGAATGAATTCCTGTTGTTGTGTGTCATCAAATGTGTGGCGATTTGGTTCAGTGGCTCTAGAAACTAATAGAGGGTCTCCCAAAGGATCCAGAGAAACAGAAATCTGTGAGGAGTCAGAAACTTTGACTCCATCCCTGGAGATGCTGGCAACTAGCAGAGTAAGTCTGGGCAAGGGACTTGTCTCAGGACCTCAGTTCCTTACCTAGGGAACACTGTTCAATAAGGAACATTAATTATCACACAAAGTGGGTCTAACCACAAGCCTGTTAATGAAGAAAATAGCAATGTACCATGAGAAGAATGGATAAAATGAGGTTAAAGTATGGCTACTATTTTATGTGTGCAGTTGACAGGTTGGTGTAGATAATGTTAGAAAAGCCTCGTGCAAAAATGTTATTTTAATCCAGGTTATGGAAGAGGGTTAAAATTCCTGCCTGTTCTTCTATGGGCATAAATGAAAGGAACCAAGTCAGGCAAACTGTTCTGGTTAGGACCAACCAGATGGATTAGTAGAAATCTGTGAGACTGGTGGAGAAAGAGAAGAGAAATCCTTGGCATAACACCTTGCTGCAGAAAGAATGTGGTTTGGAAGCAAGGCCTGGCAGGCTGGCTCCAGAAATCTTCAGTTCCTAAGACACGGAGGGGAGGGTAGTTAGATAGGGCTGCACCCACATCTGCAGCTGTGCTTTGGGGGGCCATATCCTGGCTCGGTCAACAGGGTGATGCAGATAGGCACTGAGCACCCCCTCTTGACAGATGAGTAACAACAGCAAGGGTTCACTGAGCACCTACTATCAGCCATACATGACTTCCTCAACAACATTCCCCAGCCTCCTGGGGAGGAGCCAGGGGTCTAGATAGTTTCCACAGCTGCAGGGCGAGGACACGGTCAGAACTACCCAGACCCCAACCTGGAGTCCATGTGACCATCATTCTGTTCCATACCTGCAAGGACTCTGACTGACTTTTTGTCAGTCTGTCTGTCTGTGTACATCAGAAATAACCAGATGGAGGACAAAGAAAAAATATTCTAGAGTAAAAGTAAAGACAGAATTTCAGTTCCTTTTTCCTGCCAGGAATACAACCTTGCTTTGTCTCTGCCTGTTTCCCTACTGGCCCTGAACTTACCTAATAAACTTTCTAGATATTTTTGATCTCAAGGTATCTTCTTGAACTCTTAAAAATTAGCAATCAGCTAAAAAGAAGCTTTATGTGTTATACCTATGTGATGGTTTGAATGAGAATGTCCCCCTAATGCTCCAAGTATTTGAATACTTAACCAGTTGGTGGCACTGTTTGGGAAGGGCCATGGACCCTTTAGGAGGTGTGGCCATGCTGGAGGAAGCACATCACTGGGGACTTCCAGTTTCTCTCTCTGCTTCCTGTGCCTGCTTGAAGATGCAAGTGCACAGCTTTCTGCTCCAGCTGCCTCCTGACCACACCTTCCCTCCATGCTGGACTCTTATCCCTCTGGAACCATAAGCCCAATCAACTCCTCCTTCTACAAATTGCCTTGGTCATGCTTGGTCATGGCATTTTATCACAGCAGAAAAGTAGTTAATACAACCTATTATATGAGAAACGAAACCTAAAAAAAAACTGAAATAGTTTTGCTATTTAACAATATCAGTCTCTGTGAGATCGAGACCAGCTTGTGGTTAAAGGGAGACCCTGTCTCAAAAAGAATAAACAAACAAACAAAAAAACCAAAAAACCCCCAAACAAACCCTAAAACCAAAATCAAAACCAACAAACACAGAAAACATTGATAGCTCTGAGAATTTTGTGCTGCATTTAGTGCTTTAAATATCATACCAGGGTCTGGAGAGATGGCTCAACAGTTAAGAGCACTGGCTGCTCTTGTAGAGGACCCGGGTTCAATTCCCAGCACCCATATAGTGGCTAACAACCATCCATAACTCCAGAAAAAAAAAAAAAAAATCAGTCATCAACCTTGTTACAGGTTGACACAAAAGAGGTTTCGTGAAATAACTATATTTTCAAAAACTGTGGTAAGCAACATGGCCTTGTTTCTCACAGTGTATGTATGTGTGTGTGTGTGTCTGTGTCTGTGTCTGTATGTGTGTGTGTGGAGCTGGGGAGCAAACCCAAGGCTTCTTATATGCTAAGCAGACCCCAGCCCCACTGCTTTACACTTTTGGTAACCTCTGTGATGTCTGCGTCCCGCCCCCAAAGGATTGAAGGGTCTTCCATCTCTCACCCCAGTCTGCTATGAACAGTATGAATGGCAGTGTAGGAAATTATCTTTTTGGTGGGGGGCACTGCCATGTAGCTCCATTGATAGAGTGTTCGTAGCATGCACAAAGCCCTGGGTTAAATTCCTAGTGCTTCATAAACTGGGTGTGGTGGTACACACTTGTAATCCCTGTGCAATAGGATCAGAAGTTCAAGGTTATTCTTGGCTGCATATCCAGTTCAAGACCAGCTTAGGCAACATGAGAGTCTACTTCAGAAAAAGAAAAAAAGAGTTCTTCACACAAATAAGTTCTTTAGAAGGCCAGAGCCTTCTACAACCACTGGAAGGTTCTCAGGGACTCGCAGGGACTTGGGACCCACTTGAGAACCCAATATACAAGTGTAGCCCAGTTGCTCAGGACACAAGAATCCAGCTGACTCTCCTGACCTTGGTAGTTGGCTTGTCGGCCCCGAATTCTTCTCTTCCTTCTCTTGCCTCCGAGCTCTTACTCAGCCATTGACAGTCAACTCAGAGGCCACCTCTTCTCAGAAGCCTCCCTTAGTCACTGTCTCCCACACTCCCAGGCCCTAAGCATTGATTGCCCCACTGGAAGCTTCCAGTCATAATGTCCTCCAATCCTTTCTCCTAGGGTCAGGCAGCTGGTGGGGAACTCCCCAAGGCAGGGTGACCTTTCTTCTGCTTTGCCACCCTGGACTGGGTGGAGTGAAGGAATTCAGTTTGAAGGAAAGGAAGGAGGGTGGATCCTGCTTCTTTGGGGTGGGGAGTGCTTCAGAGCAGATGGGCCAGGCAGCTCCTCAACCTGTCTCTCCCTCCTCTCGGGCTGCTGCTGCAGGAGAGGGGAGTTCAAGTCTACTTTTCCTCCCTCTTTTTACCACCTGCTTCTGTGGGTAGCCTGTGGCTGGATCCATCCCCACTGTCCTCTCCACAGGAGCAGGCCTCCCTTGAGCCTTCTTGTCTTGTATGTGCACATACACACCGTGTATAGACGTGTGTTCATATGTGTTCTGAGTATGTGAGAGAGGGGTATCAAAATCAGCCTTCAGGTGCCTGGCAATAAAATGGGTGAAACCCTGGGAGTCCAGGTCAACAGGGAGCTGCTGGGACTGTGTCAGAGGGAACCCACTCCAAGAGGTCGCCACAACTAACCTCCAGGGGGCCAGGTCTTTCATTCTGTGGAGTGGAACTGAAAATGCATTCCTTTTTTAAATTATTATTTTATGTGTATGAGTGTAATGCCCCCATGTATGTAAGTGTTCTTGTGACCTGCAATGCCCAAGGAGGTCAGAAGACAGTAGCAGATCCCATGGAACTGGAGTTACAGATGGTTGTTTGCGGCCATGTGGGTGCTGGGAATCAAACCCAGCTCCTCTGCAAGAACAGACAGTGCTCTAAACTGCTAAGGCATCTCTCCAGCCCCCAACATTCTTTTTGGTGAAATCTGATTTTTTTGTCTTTTTGAGCCAGGGTCTCCCTGTAACCCCAGCTGACCTGGAACTCACTATATAGACCAGGCTGGCCTTGAACTCACAGAGATTTGCCTGCCTCTGCCTCCTGACTGCTGGGAGTAAAGGCATACACTGTCCGGCTGAAATCTGATTTTAAAGTGTTCTAAATCCTTAACATTGTGTTGCTCAAAGGGATACCAGTGGGGCTTTGGTCACAGAGGGATACCTTTCCAGGTGCAGAGCAAGGCAGAGGGGGACTCGGCCAGGAAGCTGGGTTTCACAGCCTTCCCTGGCTTCTTTCCAGGGTGTTACACTCTCCCTGGAGTTGCTGCTGTGACAGAGGATTCCCTGCACCCTGGTCCCACCCGCTGGAAAACACCAGCAGACACACAAGAGACCAGCAGCAGCATGCTCAGCAACAGGCTTTTGGAGCCAGAAGGGACCTCAGTTTAGCACGACAACCCCGGGAGGTCAAGGCACTGGCCTGAGGTATCATGGGCAGCCCTAGGAGGCCTAGGCTCCAGCCTACCTGGGCCCATCTGTCAACTTCTGAAGCTGCCCTCCCCAACAGCCGCTCCACCGACTGTCACCGTCCATTCAATTTTCCAGAACTTCACTGCCTCTCAGCCCCTCAGCCTTGGTAGCTTTGCCCAGAACGATTTTCTACAGTATTGACCCTGGGAAGGAATTCAGTCATAAACCTAGTACCTTAGCCAGAAGTGAGCATAAATATTAGTGTGTGCTTTTGAGAGAGAGAGAGAGAGAGAGAGAGAGAGAGAGAGAGAGAGAGAGAAAGAGAGAGCCTTACAGATGACAATCCCCCCCCCACCCCGTAGTACTGGGGTTGAACCTAGGGCCTCTTGTATACCAGGCAAGTACTCTACCATAGAGCCACACCCCCAGCCCCAGAAGACAGATTTCTCTCCTTGGAGTTCACCCTCTCCCATGCCCCTCTGAAGCTTGAGGAAGGAGGGAGCACCCACAACCCTATGCAGAATGGTCATGTGTACTTAGGAAAGAAGAGCCCCAGAAAACAAGCCCCCCTACTTATTCCCCAGCTGATACTGGGGCCTGAATGCACAGGGGCACTGGGAACTCTGTTCAGCTTGGCGTGAGGCCTGACATCTTGCCAGCTGACCCTTGTTCTGAAGGACTTTTCCAGTCTAAGTGTTTTATGAAAATGTCAATACTACGAGGAGAAGAAATCTTCTCCGCTGCCACCCCCAAATCTTTTGCTTAGATTTTCCCGATTCAGGGTCTACAGGGTCATTTGTGGGCAGCAAGGTCTAAGCAGAGGTTGAGAGACAAGGGGCAAAGGTATGCCCTTTATAAAGTGACCCCCTTCCTTTGAGAGCAGAGGAGAGATTTGCCAGAGCCAAATGAAAACCGGGAAAGGTGAGAGGCCCAGGTAGAGGATTCAAAGTCCTGAAACCAGAGGCCCACAGGACTCCAGAATCTCCAGGGCCCTCAGGGCTGAGAGGCAGGAGGAGGGGGGAGGGGCCAGAAAGGTGGTGTGCATACCAAAGAGCTTATTCTCCCCCCCCCCCCCCCCCCATGGATGATTGTAGTGTTAGGAATGGTTAGTGGTAGAGGACCAGGTTGTGACAAGTGGGATCAGGAGTCTGTGATCCAGGGCAAGGCAGCAAGGCAATGGCTCTGACTCCATCCTAAGCTCATAGGAACAGGATGCAGCCCCTTCCCGGTTCTCTCAGCCCCACTCCACCCCGCCTGTGGCCAATCAGAGACAGGCTTCTCCACGGCTACCTGGCTGGTCCGGGAGATGCAGCGGCGTATGAGGTCTCTGATGTTGTTGTGCTTGTCTGTCTGGAAGTACACAGTGGCGCTGGACTTTTCCTTCAGGTAAGGCTTCTCAGCAGAGGTCCAGGTGTGCAGCAGAGCTGGCTCACTGCCCTCCGAGGCCACAGGAAAGTAGGTACCTGACTGGAGAGAACAGGAATCGAGTCCCATGGGGCCTGCCTCTGTCCCTCCTGTAGGATCTGGGGCACAGGGGGGGTCCTTGGCCTGGGCTTGGATGTACTGGGCCTCCACTGAAGACAGGAAGTCCACTTCGCCTTCCTGGCTGAGAGCCCGCCAGTAAGCCTCAGGACCCCCATCCAAGAGGGCATCGGTGGCCAGTCGGGCACTTTCATTGTCACTAAAGTCAGCTCTGGCCGGCCGGACCCACTGCTTCTTGGCATCTTCGAGACGTTTCCGAATCTTGCCCACGTGCCTTGACCAGCTCATGATGCTGTGTGCCTCAGTTGTGGAGGGGAGGCCAGCCCTGGAACTCTTCCAGATGTAGGGAGCACGCAGACCACACTGTGAAGGAATGGGGTTCCCAGTACTCCTAGGAGGCTGCCAGTTCCCTGCTGGCCTGCAGGGTCCCTGCCTCTCCTGCCTGCTCAGAGATGTGGTTTCCCACTGTCCTCGTCAGTGCTTCTCAGGGATCTTGGGCCGGGATTGGCTTATCTCTGAGAGTCACCACCCAGCCCGCAAGTTAGAGGGCTGGCTCTGTCACTGCCTTGGCACTGTCAACCAATGGATATTTCCTCTGCTCCAGCCGCAGGCTGAGCCGGCTTTCTTGCTCAATTGCACAACTCCCAGGGCCTAGAGGCCCTAGGGCCTTTGTTAGAGTGAGGAACCACCCACAGTCCAACAAATAGGCCTGGGGAGGACTGTCTCTACCCTGGTCCTCTCTGTGCTCAGGTTCAGATCAGGTCAGCAAACACTTCTCCAAGTACCAAGACTTTCCTTGCGCTCATCCTTCCTTGGCCTGTGAAAAGAGCATTTGTCACTGTCATCCTTGCTCAGCCTGCAAAGTGTCTCCAGGTCTAGGGCTCATACTGACCTTCTGGTCTGGAGAACTGGCAGCTGCTTCCTGGCCTGGGGACCCATGGGGTCCATCTTGGGGCTGGAGGATGAGGGGCAGCACCTGAGAAGGAACTCAGTGACCTCTGAAGAAGTAACCATACTTCCTCTCTGGATCACATCATGGCCAGCTGTGGAACAGAACATCTGGAATCCAGACTGACATGGACTGTGTTTTGCAGGAAACAGGGCTCGACCAGGGCTTGACCATAGGTGCCTTGGAAGGTGATTCTAGGAAGCAAATGCTGAGAGAGGCGTGGGGAGTGAGATGGCAGGAAAGGATGCGTGTCTGGGGCAAGTTAACCAGGAGGCTGCTGTGGTGGCCATCTGGGGTTTCCGCAAACAAGGTGGGAAATGTCTGGGTCTCAGTTCTACTGCGTGGCAGGATAGGGTCACAGCTCAGCTTCTACCTGGAGGTCGAGAGCACTGCAGCATGTATCTGCCAAGTCCACCAGCAGTGATGGAGGGCCTTTCCTGGCCAGGTTCACCCCAGCACCGGGCCAGCCCCAAAGCCCACCAAGTGCAGCCATTGTGAGACAAGGGTCAGGCGCTTATCGGAAGTGATGACTGTGGGAGTGGTGACTCTAGAGGACAAAAGCCAGGCCCTGGTAATACCTGCTAAGGCCCTGTGCCAGGAAACTCCGCTTTTGTGATTGTGTGCTTGTGATGGAGCCAGCATATGGGAAGAGCTGATGCCTCTGGGGCACTGTTGATCTCTGGAGGAAGACAGCTTTAAGCATCTGGGACCTTAGGAAACTGGCTCAGGTGGCCTGGTATAGTAGGACAGTTGTGTTGTTTGAATTAGACTGCCATCTGAAGCAATTTTAAGGGAATTTCTTTCCTCTTGTGAAACACAATGAAGGAATCCAGTTCACAATCTCAGACAAGCCTTCCTTTGTTCATCTCCTCTGCTCCCTGTCCCCCGGGGACAAAACCACTAATCCTTCCTTGGCTCTCTGCCCTCTCCCTTGTCTTCTGCTCACTCTTGCTCCTGGAAGTGGACTTGACCTTGTCTCCCACTGCCTCCTCATCTTCCTGCCTCTCGGGTACCCCAGTGTTCTGTCCTGCCATTCTCTGATTTTTACATTGCCTAAGTCCAGTTCCTTGCCTAGTTCATGCCAAGGTTCATTCCATGCCTCCCCTTTGCCTAGGATGTGAGACTGTCCAGAGTGACCCCCTATGGTCTCTCCCATACTTGGCTTTCTGTATTGAAGGCAACATAAGTTGTTGGACCTGATCACATAGAAGAAAACAATGACCAAAAAGACTAACTTGCCTAAGATCATGCATCTAATAAATGGCAGAGTGCAGACACCAGGACTCCAAAGTCCATGTACTTCCTGGGTGCTGGATGTCACTCTTTCCCTACTCTCTCCCTTCCCTTTCTACTCTTCAAGCTTTACAAAGTCTCTATTCTCCCTAGGGCATGTGTAGGGAGAAAGAAAGAAGGTGGGTGCTCCTTTCACCTGGACTTGATTCTCTGTATTGGTTTAATAAATGATTGAGGTCTGTTCATATCCCTCACCCCCACCCCAGACAGGAGTGGATCTTTGTGACCTGTAGGGACCAGCCTCCCTATTTTCCCATAAAGCAGGTCTTAAAATAAAATTTTTAAAAAGTTACCCACAGGCAGACACCCACAGGCAGGTTGGCGGAGGCGAAGGCAAAGGCAGCGTGCAACTGCTGGGGTATGTGTCTGTGTGTGGGTCTGTGCACATGAATACGAGTGCCCCCAGAGGCCAGAAGAGGTTGTTAGATCCCCTGGAGTGGATTCTACTGACAGAATTTGGGTCCTCTGCAAGAGTCATATATGCTCTTAACCACTGAGTCATCTTTCCAGTCCCCACAATGCAGCTTTTAAAACCAGATTTATTTATAATTATGTGTATGCATGTGTGTCTAATGTGGAGTATGTATGTGCAGCTGCTTGCAGAGGCCAGAACAGGGTATCAGATTCCCTAGTTACAGGTGGTGGTGGGCTGCCCAGTATGGGTTCTGCAAACTGAACTTAGGTCCTCTGCAAGAGCAGTGTGATCTCTTAACCACTGAGCCAACTCTCCAGTCCAGCAAAGCAACAGTTAAAAAAATTTTAAATGAGGGCTGGAGAGATGGCTCAGTGGTAAAGAGCACTGGCTGTTCTTGCAGAAGACCCAAGTTCGAATCCCAGCACCATCAGTAACTCAGTTCCAGGGGATTCGACACTCTCTTCTGTCCTCTGTGGGCACTGCACAACAAACACAGGTTTCATTTAATGAGTGGAACTTTCCCCTTCAGAGCCTTGCTTCTCCTGTCTCCAGCTCCTGGCCATCACAGAACCCAGAAATTCTAGACAACAATCCTTTTGCAGAGTCAGCAAACACACTAGAGCGTTGGTGCCTCTCATTAGACCCATCCCCTCACTCCTGGCAGACATTACTAGTTGATCACAGAACACTTTCTGGTTAAGCTGAGAACTAACTCTGCTGCAGATTATAGGGACCAGAGAATTCATCTGGAATCATGAAGGTACTATAAACCCTTAATTTACTGATGAGAAAACTGTATCTCAGAAAGGGGAAGTGACTGTGGCTGGCTGGTGCTTGCCATCAGCTTAGTTTGTCTCCATTTCTTTTCCCATTGCTGTGATTAAAATATACTGACAAAGTAGCTTATGGGAGAAAGGGTTTATTCTGTCCCACAGTTCAAAGATACAGTCCATCATAGTGGGGAAGTTAAAGCAGCAGGAACTTGGGACAGCTGGTCACACTGCATCTATAATTGGGAAGCAGAGAGCAATGGATGCATGCTTGTGCTTAGCTTCTTTTCTCCTTTTTGTATAGAGCAGGACCTATCCCCCCATGTCCAGTGTCAGCCATGCTGACTCATACCAGATATCCACATAAGCACCATATTGTCTAAATATAAACTAGCCCTTATAGCCCTTCTGTTTCCAACAGACCCAAACTCAGGGAATGGTGCCATCTACTTTCAGTTGATTAGCCTGATCAACATAATCCCTAACAGGCATGCCCAGAGGCTACCTAACCCTCACAGATGTGCCTCCTGTCTTGTTTCCCAGGTAATTCCAGACCCTGTCCTGTCCTTCTCTCCTCTCCTCTCCTCTGCAGCCAGCTCTGTGAAATGCCACCATCTGTGCTGGGCTGCTACCTGTGATAACACACTTCCAGGCCTGAGATTGCACTCCTGAACTGGGAATTCAGGGCAATTGTGGTGTCACACATTCATAAGCCAAGGAGCCTCATCAGCGAGCCCTGAGGCACTGCACTGTGGCATACAGAGGACTTGATGTCCCCTTTTCCTTCTTGAGGCTGTCTTGGGGGTAGTACCTACTGCTGGTGAGACCATCTGACAGTGAGGGATGGGGTATGAAGCTGGGCTGCTGTTAGCAAATGCCCAGTGCTGGGGCTTCCTGAGAATTCTATCTATCTAGGCAGTGGCTTTCAACTGGGAGCAGTTTGGGCCAGGAGCATACAAATACAGAAAGCAGGGGAAGGGGACCAAAATGCAATTATTAGTGTTGAAAATGAGTGAGGGGCACTGATTTGAATGCCTAGTTTTCAACATAGATAGATAAATGTAGAGAATAAGAAGTAAATTTTAATATCTGACATATACACTATATAATATTTGTAAATTTATCAAGTCAATTAAGTATAATATAAATATATTATATAATGTGTATTCTCTACTTCTGCCTGGTAATAGTGACGCTCCAACAGCAATGTGCACTTCTAGGGTTATAGTTTGGTCTGGAATGCCCCCAAAGGCTCTTGTGTTGAAGGTTTGGGCCTCTAGTGCAAAGGATTAATGCTCCTCTGTACAACCAGATTCTGTAATTGCTATTGCTAGTGTGTGTGTGTGTGTGTGTGTGTGTGTGTGTGTGTGTATGTGTATGTGTGTGTGTTTGAGACAAAGTCCTACTCTGTAGTTTCTGCTGCTTTTAAACTCACAGACCCTCCTGTGGCAGTCTCCCGAATGCTGGGATTTTAGGCAGAATCTTAACTACATCTGGTCTTGTGATTACTTGTTTGAATGAGAACTTTCTCCCAAAGACTGTGAGCAATTTGGAGTGGAAATGTGGGGAGGCAAGGTATGTAGGCAGCCACAGCATCTATACCAGTGAGTGACTGACTAAATCAATGCCTGTCAGAAGATTAAGTGGCTCAGATCCCCTGAGTGGGAATGTGTCCTGGGCTTGCTCCTACGAGGCAGGAGGGTCTGGAGCTGTGACTGGGACCTTGGGGAACAGGGTGCTGCTTGACTCCAGAAGCAGCTGCCACCTCCCCCATACTTCGCATAAAGGCCTGCAGCAGAGAGGAAATTGTAGTCTTGTTACCCAGTGACCCGAGACATGCAATTAAGTTGAAAATTAGTTGGCATAATTAATTAGACAGGTAAATAGCTCCTTGTCAGCACCAATCAATCCTTTCTACATAAAATCAGCTCAGTAAAGCAGGGTAGGATGTGGAATTCTGGCAAGCTGCATCTGCTGGGGGCCAGGCAGAGTCCTGCCAGGTCTCCCAATCACCACCCACCCACAGAGCTATCTTCAATTGCTTTTCAGGGGGGCCGCCCCTCTGAGATGGTTCCCTCTGTTCCCATCTTCAATACCTTGCAGAATCAGAGTGATTCTCGAGACTCCCAGCTTCAAGAACCAAGGCTCTCTTAGGTTCTCAACCTCAAAGTTCAAATCTGTTGCTTGAGATTTCTGACACCCATAAAGACCACAGAAGCTCAGTTTTTCTTAGTTAATTTGCAGATGATTTTCTTAAGACTAAGATAACCTTCATATGCAGTAAAATTCATTCGTTGTGAATGTGCTGCTCTGAGTTCTGGGACATACAACCAGGTTACCACCAAAATCTAAGAACAAACTATTAAAATCCATACCCTTCCATAGTCACATCCCCCCCTCTCAGTCCTTGGAAACCACCAATCAATTCATTGTCCTAAAAAGGTTTGCCTGTCTTTATATGTCTTAGAATCACGCAGGCTGAGCTCTCTGAATCTGGCTTCTTTTGCTTAGCATAATGCCCTTGTGATTTGCCTATCCTGTGATATGGGTCAGAAGTCAGCTAATTTTTATTGCTGTATAGTATTTCATTGCATGGACACACCACAGTTTGTTTATCCACTTCTCAAAGGACATTATGTTATTTCTTTCTCACTTGAGGTATTTATATGAATAAAGCCGCTATAAATCGTGTGAAGGATTTTCTAGAAACAAAGTTTTCACTCAGGTAAATATCTGGGAGCAATTCTGCAAAGTTAATGGTAGGTATATTTATGACTTTGTAAGAAACTGTTGTACTGCCTTCTAAAGCCTGAATCATCTATATCCCAACCAGCAATGAATGGGACTGCAGTTGTTCCACATTACTCATGCATAATTTTTTTTGCATTTGTGTGCACATGTATGTATGTGTATGTGTGTCTTCATATGTGCACTTGCCATGTGTGTGGAGGCCAGAGGTTGATAGGTTGATGTTGAGATTCATTCCTCCCTCCCTCCCTTCTCTCTCTCTCTCTCTCTCTCTCTCTCTCTCTCTCTCTCTCTTTCTGGGAGAGGTTCTTTTTGAGGCAGGGTCTCTCTGTAGCCACAGCTGACCTGAAACTTGCTATATGACCAGGCTGGCCTCAATCTCACAAAGAGATCTGCCTGCCTCTGCCTCTGAGTGCTGGGATTAAAGGCGTGTTCCAGCACACCCAGCAGGGATAGCTTCTTTTTCCTTTTCTTCTTTTTATTTTTATATAGGTAGTTTAATATGGAATGTCCTTATCAAGACTGCCCAGTCAAATGCCTATAAGTTATAGTTTACACAAAAATGAACCACAATCCTCAGATGGGTCATTTCCACCTACATTGCTAAGATTGATCTTATCAAGTTTGAATAGTTTATTTTATCACTACCGATTTATGAACTTCAGTGTGTTTGAACTGGTTCAGTAACTTGAACAATACAACTTCATATATGTAACAACATCTTTTCAGGGGTTTTTTTTTTCTGGGCACAAGAGTGAAGTCACTCTCATGAATTTAACAGGAGTTGTGACATTATGCACAAGATCAATCCAGACACTAAGGGATAGCTTTCTTAATCGATTCTCTACCTTTCTATCTTATTTTTTGAGACAGGGCCTCTTCCTGACTTGGCTAGACAGGCTGGTCATCGAGCCCCTGGGATCCACTGCTCAGTGCTGGGTTTGCTGTTGCATCCCGCCACACCCAGATTTTTATGGTTGTTGGGGATTCAAACTCAAGTCCTCATGCTTGCACATCCCAGCTGGCCTGGAACTTGCTATGTAGACCAGGCTGGCCTCAGGCTCACAGAGATCTGCCTGCCTCTGCTTCCCAAGTGCTGGGATTGAAGGCATGTGCCACCATGCCCGGCCAGTGCACACATTTTAAGAAATAAACAATGGGCAGGTCCGACAACAAAATGCAAACATGGGGTCCCTTGCTCCAAACCAAAGGAAAGAAAACACTACAAACATTACCAGCCAAAGGCGCTGGTCTTTCTCTCGGCTCCCCGTGGGTTTTTGTTTTTATTTTTTATTTTTGATATTTTACTGGGCTCTGTGGTGTGTTTGTGTGCATGCACCGAGTAGAGATTGATATCTAAACATAGCAAGAATCACAGGCTCAGGACAGAAAGCATTCATCTCATTCATTTATTCCACCAACACTCAGCCTGATGTGCATTTGGGGATGCTGGCATGCCTTGGGACTGCAGGAAAAAAAAATCCCCACTGGGGAACCCAGACTTCTGATGAGAGCCACTTTGTGACCAGACATTTCCCCTCTGGCCATCAGGCTGTTGACTAAGTTAATGGAAGCCAGTAAGCCAAATGAAATGACTGTCAAGATGGGGTTGTGCAATTCCAGGCACAGCACTATGTTTGAAGGACAGGTGTAGGAGGCGATTTCAGTGATATAATTTGAAAGGACGGTTGCTTAGGCAACCCAGTCCCATGAACTGGCTACTGCGTGTCAGAACCACACACCCATTAGCTCTGTGAACCGGGAACTCATGGCTCTGTGCCCCAACCCCGCCTGAGGTGGCAGGAGACGCTGTGACCCCTGAGACTGCCGCTATACTGGTTGGAACTGAGACAAAACATCTGCCTGTTCTGGGTCTGAAACTGGATGGGGCAGGCCCAGCTTTGAGCCCCAGGGCTGCTGTGCCCACACCCACCACCACCTGTTTCACCTGGGTGGAGTGGGAGGGCCCTGCCAGGTGAACATGTAACCCTTTCTTCTCTGGCTAGGGGACTTCGCTGCCCAGCCTCGTTTAGGGAAGTCCTAGCTTGTGACCTTGTGAATCGTGAATCACATGAAACCTGATGTACAAAAGTTAATCAACCCTGTCCTCAAGGGACAACCAGCCACTGCAGCAGGGGAATGTCCTTTGCAATCCTCAAGTGCACAAGTGTTCCCAGCCCCTTATAGGCTTTGCAAGGCAGCCGCATGGCCCTGCTGAGGACCTGCCTGTCACCCCGTGAGAAAGACAGCAATTAAGAAATCACAACGCCAAGCATCGGGTGCCTGTAATCCCAATCCCAGCATTTGGGAGGCTGAGACAGGAGGATCGAGAGTTCTGAGCCAGCCTGGGCAACATACTGAAACCTGGTCCAAACAACGCAAACAAGAAGCAACCAGGATCCTGAATTAGGGTGAATGTTAAGGTCAGGGGGAGAGCCGGGACTGTGAGGACACAGTGCAGAGACTCCATCTAGCTCGGGGACCAGAGGCCTTGGGAGTGACTAGTGGGGGTCAGAGGATGTCTGGCTGTGGGGTGAGGGTGGGAAGTGGGATGAGAAGAGCCACAGAGGGCAGATGGGGACACATGGGGACGCCATCTAGCTCGGGGACCAGAGGCCTTGGGAGTGACTAGTGGGGGTCAGAGGGTGTCTGGCTGTGGGGTGAGGGTGGGGAGTGGGATGAGAAGAGCCACAGAGGGCAGATGGGGACACATGGGGACATGGCTTCCTTCTATGGACAATGAAGCCATGAGGCTGTTAAGCAGGACAGTCTAAGTTGTCTTAGTTAGTAACGGCTCCTCTGGCCTCGTGGAGCCTGTGGAACCCTTTGGGGACATCCGGCCGGCAGTTGTGGGGAAGCTTCCTCCTTCTCCTCTGTTATTTCGGACAGGGTGATGCCTCCTAGATGCTGCCAGTAACCACAGGTTGCCTCCTGCCTCACTGTCCATACAAACTGAACCTGCGCTGTGAGGACCGTGACCTTCTGCTGCCCTGGACACATGATAGGAATTGCTGGCTGTTTCCTGCAGGGCACATCAGAGCACAGTCCTCCTCCTCACCCCTCCATCTCCAGCATGCCTCTGCTCCTTCTACTTGCTCAGATGGCTGCCCCCTCCCTTCTGGCTTGTCACAGCCACAAAGGAGATGAAGACTCCAGGGAGCCCAACCAAGGCCTGCCAGGTTACGCGCCCTGGCTGTGGGCCTGGGGACTGTTGTGTGTCCCAGAGCCCAGTAGCACAACTTTAGCCCCTCAGACCCTTCTCTCTAACCTCCTTCCTCCTCACAACCTCTCCCTTCCTCCAGGTCTCAACTCTCATCTTATTTTCACTGTAAACAGAGATCACTAGAAAGGAGAGGGGAGTCCGAGTGCAGATATTTGGAACCAACTTCTCTGACCTGACTGCAGCGTATCGTGTGAGGAAAGACCAGGGCCCAGGTCAGAGGTGGCCTTCAAGCTCATCCTGATCCTGCCAAGCAGATGGAGACAGTGACCTGGGGCCAGACAGAGGTGCAGAGAGAGGTGAGGGGTGAAAAGTCCCACCAGCTGAGCTTCTGTTCTTGGCCTTCGGGGACATGGACAATTCTCTCTAGAGTGAGAGGCCAGGAATGAACTTTTTTTGACTGCTCACAAGCTTCTCAGAATTCCATGATTCAATACATATGAACAGAAACATGCGTATTTCTGCACCATTTGTTACCAACTCTCATTACATTTAGATCTTCTGGAATTAGAAGACCTTCCTAGGGCGCCTAGAACTATAGTCACAAAGTCCCTGAAGTGGGACACAAACAATGGGGGCTTCCTCTCTCTCACCATGTGGGAGGCTGGATAGCCAAGGTTAAAGTGTCAGCAGGCCAGTTTCTTCCCAGGATTCTCTCGTTTGCTGTAGATAGACGGTTGCCTTCCTCCTGTGTCTTCACAGGGTCTCCCCTCTGTGTGCTCTCTTCTCAGAGGCACTCCAGGCACTTAAAAGATCCAGGGAAGCCAGGCGTAATGGCACACTCGGGTGGCAGAGGCAGGCAGATCTCTGTGCGTTCAAGGCCAGCCTGGTCTACATAGCGAGTTCCAGACCAGCTGGGGCTTCAGGGAGACCCTGCCTCCAAAAGACAAAAAATAAAATAAAATAATAAAATAAAAGGAGATCTGTGTGTGACCAGGGAAAGAGTCTGAGCTTCTTGTTAATTGAAAATAAGCACGGTGGTCCATTTATGCACCTAAACCCCACATTTGTTGAGAGGCTTCTGTAGAGGCCCGCTGCCCTGTACACTGCCCCCTCAAAACTGAAATCAGACCAGTTTGTGCAAGCTCAAGACTACTTTTACTATTGTCCTGAGAGCTTTTATCGGAAGATGAGCATTTGAAATTCACACAGAGTTTACACAGGATAAGTGCTCAAGCACATAGGAATTTCCCCGTCATAACACTAAGAGAACAGCATAGTGTGCCCAAGGCTGTGGCTACTGGCCCAATAACAGACCTCCTTTGATGTATGCAAAGACGGGAGGGACACGGTAACCTGTTCCAGGAAAGAGCTGTTTCAGAAAACTCTGCCTTATGGGTCCCAGGATGCTGGGAGCAGACTTTCCCCTCCTTGAGCCACTACATCAACAAAGCCCAGAAATCTGTTAACTCTTAGTGAGTCAAATGCCAGGAGCCTGTTAACTATTAGTGAGAGGAGCATTATTGTCTTTAAGGGATGACAGGCCTCACTGTACTTCCCAGGGTTAAGGGTGCAGGTGGGTTGAAGTGGCTTTATTTACTCATGTATGCGTAGTCTACATTGGACTGCTGCTCTCTATTCGTCACTTCTCTTGGAACTCTGGATCACCTCTCTCCTTGTGGCTGAATATATATCCCTGTCCCAGTGGTGTTGAACTTGACCATGTGACTTGCTTGAACCCAGGGCCTCATACATGCTAGTTAAACAAGCACTGTACCACTGAGATATATGCCCAACCCTCTTTTGACTTTTCATTTTGACACAGGGTCTCATTAAGTTGCTCAAGATGACAATGAACTCACTTTGTAGCCCAGGCAGACTTCACTTTGGGATCCTCCTGCCTCAGCCTTCTGAGTAGTTGGGAATATAGGCCTGTGCTGCCAGGCCCATCTAGGACAGTGGAATTTTATTGGACATGCTAAGAAGCCCTGGCTTTTGGTGTGCTTATCTGTATGATGTGTTCTCTTGGGCTTTTGGAACTCTCTGAGAAGAAAATGCCCTGCAGGCATGTCAGTGCTTTTGACATTGGAACATCATGTTGTCATCTACAAGATTCCTGCTTGAGAACTACACAATCAAGTTTTAAGGAAAAAAAAAGCAAACCAAATTTCACAATGTTTTAAGTAAGTTTAAGAATTAGTGCTGGGCAGGTTGGACATACCTGCTTTGAGAGTAGTGGGTTGGAGGGCAGTGTGGAGGCATGAAGATCAGAGTGCACCCAACCTCAGCCTCCAGCCAAGTAGCTAAGCGTCAGACCTGCAAGCAAGAAAAGATAACGTTGATGCTCAGTGAAAGAAGTCAGATACAGAATCACACAAATCACACTTATGAAAGATTCAGACTTAGTAAATTCATAGAGATGGAAAGGAGATTAAGGGCTGTGAAGTGGAAATGGGGAGTTATTGCTCAATAGCCAGAGTTTCTGTTTGAGATGATGAAAAGGGTTTGGAAACACAGGAGCTGGTTGGTAGAGTGTTTGCTTAGCATACTTACACAAAGCTCTGGGTTTGATCTGCAGGATCATATAAAGTGGGGCCTGGTGTCACAGGTTTGTAAATCTCAGCACTCAGGAGGAGGAGGAGGCAGGAGGATCAAAAGATCAAGGTCATCTTCAGCTACATAGCAAGTTCAAGGCCAGCCTGGGCTGCAGTGAGATCTTGCCTCAAGTCAAACAAACAAAAACAGTAATGTTTGTTTCACAACATTGTGAATGCACTTAATGCTACTGACCTGTACTTGCAAAATGGTTAAGATGGTCAATTTTGTTACTTTTTTTATTTTTAAATTTTTAGTTTATGTGTATGCTTGTAAGTGCACTTATGTCATGCAATGTCTGTGGAGGCCAGAAGAGGGCGCTAGATCCCCTGAAACTGGAGTTACAGAAGATCATTCATTAGTCACCATGTGGGTGCTGGGAACCTAATCCAGGTCCTCTGCAAGAGCAGCCAGTGCCATCTCTCCATTCCCTTAGACAGCATTTTGAGAGAAGGTGCACAGGTGTTTGTCAAAATTAGTTTACAGGATGCATGTCAGGAAAGATGTTTGGAAACTGTTAACCGGGCAGAGAGCAAGTGGGAAATTGGGCAGGTTGACCTTTCCCTGAATTTGAGTGTGTACCTCTATAGTGCCCAATATCAGTTCTGCGGGCTTTCTGAGGGCTTGTTTCAGACACACTGGAGGCTTGGGCTGGAGGGAACAAGCTGTTTCTTTGGGAGTGGAAAGGAGGTAGGTGGGGAAAGAATTCACCTGTTTCTTAGAGGATGTAACCTTTGGCCTAGCAGATGAAGGAGGAGCACTACAAAGCCAGTTGAGGGTGAAAAGGGCAAGTCAGTGGAGACAGCAATTTGTGCAAATGTGGGAAGTGCGAAGTGCTTGTTTCTGGAATTCTCGAAGGCACTGCTCGAGATTCTTCCCTCAGCCTGTGGGTCTTGGGACAAGGGCTCCCTCACTTCCAGCCTGGCGTGTGACCCTGTGGGGTATGTGACACTGCCCACCCTTTATTCTGGACTCGGTAAGCTGGCTCACACGGTCGGGTGTCCTTACGTCCCACTTCTCCCAGGCGGGGTAGTGGAACATTTTCCACCCAGATGAACAAAGACCCGACAGACCTGGGCGGTGAACCCGTACACCCCTCAGCTAGGTCCGCAGGAAGGGACCTGGATCTCCCCACCCCTCAGTCCCCAGACTATTTCGGCCCTACACACCCTTCGGATTTGTGGACTGGGGACAACCAATCCCTCCCTAAGTACTCCTGTCCTCCGCCAAAGGTCATCCCCCCGCCCCCTTATTTTAGACAAAATAGCCCGGCATGAAGGCACACACCTCCCAACGCATGAGAGAGATGGATGCAGGACGCTCAAGAATTCAGGGCTATCCTCAGCTACATAGCGACGACGAGGCCAGCCTGGGCTGTATGAGACTCTGTCTCAAAAAATTCACCCAGCCCAAAAAAACTAAAATGGCGGCGAAATACGCAACTCCAAAGCGGATTTTCATTTTAATAGTTCTACGTTTGTGGTACCACCGATAGGACAAGAACCGCACCTGCTTGTATCCTGGGGACACGGTTTCTGGATGCCTGCCCTTTAATGTGCTGCAGTGAAGAGCTGGGAAAGGAGAGGGAAGAGCGAGGGGGAAGGTCTCAGGGGCTAGGGCTGGGAGCTTGAGTGGGTCCTTTCCGGGGCTGGGACGCCCGGCAGATTGGCCCTAGCCCGGGAGCTCATGGGGACCCCGGAAATCCAGGCGCCGAAGAAGCCGAGCTGGGGGCCAGAACAGCGTGCGCCGGTGTTCGTGAGCTTGCAAATGATTTCCCTTCGGCTCCTCCAGCTCAACTCCCCAGGCTAGGCGGATCCCCTAGAGCACAGCATGCAGCAGGTGCCTAATAAATGTTTCCTAAGAACATGAGTGTGTGCGCGCTTGCAAACTATACAAAATGAGCTCATGAGCATCTCCTTCCCCTCTGCTCCCCTCCCCAGTGCGACATCACCAACCGCCCACTGTGTGTGTTGATGGACAGGAGGATGAGCCGAGAGGAGTCTCCAGCGCAGGTGCCGCAGAACTCAGCGTCCGGGGATTCAGTTGGCGCGGGAGAGAGCACCTAGAAAAACTAAAGTCCAGGTTTGAGCATGCGCACTGGGTCTTCCATCAGCTTCTTCTGCCTTAGACCGGAAACATTGCTTAGGTGCCTCGTTAGCGCAGTAGGTAGCGCGTCAGTCTCATAATCTGAAGGTCGTGAGTTCGATCCTCACACGGGGCACGTTGCTTTTGTTCGGTCTAGGTCGTAACTCCTGCTGGAAAGTGAATTTTATCTTTGCGCAGGGTGGTGGCGGAGGACGCGAACAGGCCCTCCCGCCGGGTGCTGATCAGGGGCCGCTCAGACTCCAGGAGGCTCCACCAGCTCTGGGGAACTGATCTGTCATTCCCTGATTTCCAATCTCAACCGACTTTGCTCTCTGAGTCCTGCGGAAGGAAGGGAATCTCCAGGAGACCATGAGGTTTTGGATCTGGGAGTCAGCAAATCTGGACCCTGGGCGGTGAGGTGCCACTCTGGACTCACCGTTGGGGCTCACCGCAGGGTCTGGAGTTCCTCTTGCACCAAGCCACATTTAGTAGTTTGCATTCTTGGGAGACCACAACAGCCCAAGAGCCTTTCCCTCTGCTGCCCTGCTGCGCCCCACTGTGGATGACTGTGTTTGGGTACTGAACGCGCCCCCTGAGTCCCTGCTACCCCAACATCCGTTATCTGTGGTGGCATTTGTCACGGTCACTCGTGACCAGCAGAGCCACCACGGAGCTTCTCAGCTGTGCGGATGCTTCCTCCACTGGCCAAGGAAGGAAGTCTTTTGGGCTCGTAGCACGTAGTTGGGAGGTGTTATGGGGTCATGTCATAGGAATTCATCCACGATTCCACCCCTAGCTTCCTAAGTTTTGGGTATCTTCATCCGCATCAGGGCTTCTTAAATTTTTTCCACTTGCAACTCCCTCCCGCCTTTTTTTTTTTTTTTTTTTTTTTTTTGCCTGAGCAGTTTTTACATGACTTTGGATATATAGGTATCTAAATTAGTATACTAATACAAATTTACTGATGATAAATCACACACAAATTTTTAAACTAAGTATTTAATATTAGTTCTTGGTATACATATAATTTTGCCATTTATTAAAGATAAATGCAAATTGGCATCCTAATGAGATGGATGTGCTTATGTATTTTTACATTCTGAATTTAATATTAGCTGAATATCCGATACCACAGGATGTAGAGCATCATCAACCTTTTTCAG